ACTGCCGCTAATTCAAAAGTGAAAGTAAAATGCGCACGGCGCTTTTACAAGCTATTTAAAAGCGAAGGAAAGCGAGGAAAAGAGGGAACGCCCCCGCCCCAACGGTGATACCGGTATTACCGGTGTTGTCACACATCGATTAACCGGTGAGAAAATTTCCTCACCGTCACAACCCTACTTAGTAGTGCTCCCCTCACCCTAGAGCAGTGTTACTCATTGCGCGGCTCGCGAGCCTCATGCGGCTCGCCAAGCTTTGATGTGTGGCTCGCATGGCAGATGGCAGTAAATAATGCGATGATATGATCAATACAGATATTTAATAAAAACATTAAAAACAAGCAGGACTATGTCTAAGCCATTATAAAAACTCACACCGTGTCTACACTGGACACAAGCGTCGTGGTGTGACGCGACAAAAGACAATAGAACACATTATAATTATGGCCCTATGATTTCTGCGATGCGGAAAACGCGGACGGAATTGCGGAATCCAGTCATAAAAACAGAATTTACTGTATAACGCGGAATGTCACGGAATTTGTCAAAGTTTGGGTGAATAAATCAAAAGTAGGTCATTACACTTAAATCAAATCGCAATATTGACTGGTATCTGTAAATTTTAAGCTGCAAAAATAACATTTAAATATGAATCCTGCATGTCTCTTTATGAATGAATGGCACAGACGCGTGGTTTCATTTACTACACACATACTGAAGTGTGCAGTGTTTTCAGCGTCTGCTGTCTCGCTAAATGAGAACATAAATACATGAACAACAGTCAGTGTCTGCTCTATTATAAATAATTAATATTTTAAAAATACCCAAAACAGGGGAATTACAAGATGGAAATATAGACTAGAAAGATATTTAAACTTGCTCTGCCCTTACGTCCATGACATTGACTCACTGCGGAGTTGTTTTGGCAATCTTTCCAGCTCTTAACGCCGAATGTGCTCTTATGGTTTGATACATGATGGGCTAATGTAGAAGCAAATAACTTTAAATAAATAACTTTAAAAAATAACTTTTAAAAATAACCCCCTTTGTATTGCATTGCATATTGTATGTTCAGGGATGACAGATTG